AAAATTCCTCAAAGCCTTTGGGGGGATTTTAGCTTTTCTTGTGGCCTGTGGAAAGTCGTAAAGATTGGTGTTTGGAGAGGTGATTTCTGTTGGCTAAATGGGGGAATTTTTGAAAGGTTATGGTGAAAATAGATCACGTTGTACAGTTTTTAATGGAGAGGTCAGGTTGCTTTAGGTTTTTCAAGTAAAATATTAGTTTAGGAAAGATCATTGGCACCAGTTTTAAGGGTTATTGATCTCTTACTAATCGATAAACAAATAAATGACTGAATATCTTACTATTAGAAGTGTTCAACTGCTTTAAGTTTTGCCGTAACCGCGTATCATCCAGTAGAGTCCAGTAGAGTCCAGTAGACATCCAGTAGACTGGAATAGATTACTGTAATATTAGATCTAGACTAGATCTGTCATAGACTTCGTTCTAGATCCCATTTTTAACTGAATACCTAGAATCTCTGAAGTTCTCAAATCATTGAGTAGATCAATTCGTTACCCAGCTATCTCTATCTCTTTGTGACCCCGGGTATCCCTGCTCAATTTGCTGAAGGGATCCACGTTGTGGACCCTTTCTCAACCCACACAGTCTCCTCCATCCCCATCCCCCCTTCCCAACAAATACCACGGCTCCCAGCTTACCGATGGTTTTACTAAACAGAAAGAAAGCCACCGATCTCTTAGATCAACTCTATCTTCTATCTTTGCCACAAATTGCCCATTAGAATTGACATCATTTGAAATAAAGATTTGAAATTCGATTCCATTTTTGATGTCATTGCTTTGCTTAACATTTTTTGCTTAACAAGTTTTCCGAAATAATATCAAAATACTGTATCCTTGCCTCTTTTGAGCAGACATAACAAATCCTAGAAAGAATTCTTGTGGGGAAAATATTGAGTGAATCAGTGGAGAGCCTCCATCAAATGAGAAATTTCGATGTTTATTAGGAAGCTGAAAACTTTATTGTAGGAATTTTTCTTTGAAACTCAATTCCTTATTATCTAAAATTCTGCCAATTCCACAGATTTCCTAGTAAATTTCCTAGTAAATCCCCAATTTATGTGGATGTTTAGCCGATTCTTGAAAAGGGTCGTTATGTTTAGACCTCTTCTTTTTACATGTGGCCTTTGAAGGGACTGCGGGCTTTGGTTTAGGAAAAAGGGGAATTGAAAGGCTTTAGGTCTGTGCCCACTAAGCCTCCACACAAGGAGAAGAATCGGGGAGAAATCCGGGGATTCCTAAGCCCTATGGAAAGGCTCAAGGCATTGACCGAGAAGAAAGCGGTCAAAGAAAAAGCTATGGATTGGGGAATATCAATCCCGACAACAAATAGATAAAGATGGACCCTGGGGCAAGATTGGAGATAATGGATGATGGGATTGACTTTGAATCAAAGCTACAACTAGGAGAGATCGATTTGGTAGATGTTTCAGGATAATAGTGCTCCGGGAACCTTAGCTGAAGTGGATAAACATCAAACCGGATATGCAATTCTTCAATCAGCTTGTTAGCTACTTACAATTAGTCAAAGTTAAAGTTTAGCTACTTATCAATAGCCAGAGCTATTAATAGACGTTGTTACTTGGCAATTGTTGAGCTCTGACAATTTCTCAGCATTCCCCAATTCCCCAGCTTTCTATTACACCTTCCCGAGAGCATCTCAGATCCTCGGGAATGATTGAAAGGATAGGAATTGAGCATGTTTTCTTTTTCCTTTCTATTCACAATTCTCGAGCACTGCCATCGGCGCTTTGGCATAAAAAAGACCGGTTCTTGAAAGAGGAGAAAGAAAGAAAACGATCTCGTTCTCCTTGTTCACTTTCTCCTTTCTATTCCCGACCCCATCTCACCTTTTCCCCCATTTTCTTGTCCTGAGCCTTGTTGAGTGGCAAAACTTGTCGAGGTCGAGACTCTCAGACTTACGACGATTCGAAAAAGCTTTATGCTTTTAGCAGAACAGTGAATGATTTCAATTAAGCGTCTACTTGATTGAGTTAAGAAAACGATTGAGTTTTCTGAATGGGTTTTATGTTTTTGTTTGAAGAGCTTAATTAGGCTGATTCACTGAGTTTACTAAATGATTAATGAAATGCTTTTGATAATGTTTTCAGTTTCAAATTCAATGAAGAAACAAGTATCGACGAGAATGAAGTCTTACAGTTGTGTAGCTTATTCAAATGGACTAAGCGGAACCACGTCATCTTGATTTCACAACAACTAGCTCACTTCTTTGAAACTGGCTAAATCGAGGTTTCCCCTTTCTTTGAAAATCTCTCTCAATGGCACAGCCATTGTCCATCCCTCAGGGGTCAATCGAGAGAAAAGGAGAAAGTTTTTTTGTAAAGCTGATCCTTTTCTCTATTCTCAAAAAGAGAGATTTGGTGTGACCGATTCTCAAAAGATTTTGGTGAAGTTGTGAGACAAGAAAGGTCAATGATTAGGAAGTTTTGGAGCTCTGAAGAGATTGAGAATAAGGGTGTCAGTTGAATCTATTTGTCCTGCTGTACACCGAATTTTACTTTCCCGGGCTCAAGCACGAAAATCCGATTCGGAGATCGATTGGCGGGCACGGATCGTGGCATTTCCCATGCGATCGGGAGAAAGGAAAAGAAAGAAAAGAGTTCTAAACGAACTCTCGACTATGAATACTAAAGTGATGAGATGAGAGAAGAGAAAACGGGGAAAGGGAAAGGGATTCTCGAGAATATCAATACATTAGTGATTGTTGAGGGATGGCTTTGGCAATAGAAAGAGTCAAAGCCGTAACTGTAGTATTTTATTTTATTTTTGGCTTCTCTACCATCCTGGTATCAAATACTAAAACCATAGTGCTCAACAATGATTCTAGTATCCTAGATCTAGCACAGGTCCATAGTACTAGAGTACTAAAGCTAGAACAGAAGTACTACAGAGTTGTAGAGCTAGAATTTAGAATGATACGTTCAATTCCAGGATTCAACACTAAGTACTGCCGTAGCTGGGCACTTTTCTAGCATTTCTCAAGGTTTGTACATTGGAAAGACTCGTTGTAGTGTACTTTATACCCAGGAATCGAAACAAACCCTTTCTAGCGCACACAGCTCTTCCATTTTCTTACGACAATTTAGTGGTGCACCAGAAAAGCTTTGTTTCAATGTTCAAGCACAAAGTATACCTTAAAACAATAGTTCTTAGAATTGTTCTTTCAATGTATCCAAAATTCGATTACTCTCAGCTATCGGCCTCAGCATGGGCTCTCGATTTCCCCTATTTCCTCCCCTTCCCTTCCCCTTCCACAGCTTATGCAAAGCGTTAATCTCTATGTCTTCTCCCTTTTCTCTCAATCTCGTTGTTTCCATTCGACTTCCCGTCAAATTCCCCTTCGAAAGCCCTCCCCGTCCTCGAGGTCCGTCCAAAGCTCTACCGTAGTGGCCTCGATTCATTTCTAGAGGGATTTGCCTTCAAAACTCATTTACATGCTAATCCCGGGTAGTCGATCAGCGTACTGAAATCTCATATCATTTTCAAATACCATTTCTATTGCAGATTTCCTAAAGTTTACTTTCTTCATGTTTTTCATAACATTACTTTGATAGTTGTTGTTTTCAAAGCTGTTTTCAAAATCTGAGCCCAAAAATACGGGAAAAGAGGAAAGGGGCTCGGTCAACAAGGTGCGCGATTTCTTCAAACAGATATCTCACTGGGTCTCCTAATCTCTACCGTAAGGCTTATTGAAGAAAAGGGGAAAGATCGGAAGCCGGTTGGATCAGAATGGGGAAGGAGGAGGTGGTGAATCGATAAGAATATGAGTTGTGGATGGGAATGAGTTTGGGTTAGAGAGATATTGAAATCATAGTTGATAGTTGGATAAGTAAATCAGTGAGTTGCAGGGTTATCACTGGTACTAAGCATTATGAGTTTCATTTGTAATCCTTTGTTGTAGGTTCAAGTGTAATCTTTAAGTGTTCTCAAGCTGAAGCTGTGGTATACTCAGTTTCTTAGTTAACTTAAGTTGTTATATGCCTTCTAATGTGACTTCTAGTGAGTTGTATAGCGAGCAGCTCTATAGCAGAGCTAGCAGAGCTAGCAGAACTATAGAGCTGTTGGCTCGGCTCTATAGCAGAGCTAGCAGAGCTATAGATGTTCGCTAGGCTCTATAGCAGAGCTAGCAGAGCTATAGATGTTCGCTAGGCTCTATAGCAGAGCTATAAAGCAGTATCACCCAGCTTTAGTACTGAATAAACTCTATAATCTCTACCGTATCTAACCTCGAAAAGCCTCAAGAGTCAGATCAAATCCACAAAGAGCTGGAAGGGTTGACGGGGATTGGCCGGGGGTTGAGTGGGGGTTGGAAGGGGATTTCAATCGAGACCCCTTTCCCTTCGCCACACCACTCAAGCCCCGCCCCTCCTTTTCCTTTCACTCTCCTTTCCTTTTTTTTCTCCCCCACTTTCCCCCATTCCACCACGGCTGATCAGAATCGATTCCATATACAAATTCCTTTTCCCAAAAATTCCGGCCCTGGCTCCAGACTCAGATCTTGATCTCGATCCCCCGTCCACATCAATCAATTTTTCGGCCATTTACAAAGCTTTACTGAATCCGGGGAAATTCGGAGGAAGTTCAACATCAAGTGAGGTAATGAAAGAGTGACATTGAGTTATGAAAATCTGATTTTTTCTTCTTACTACTTGTTCTATAGGTTCATTTGTGCCTTAAGAGTAGTCTATTCCTACTTTGGCCTTGTAAAACTTAAGCTAAAATATAATAGCTTTATCCGTATCAACACATAAAGCTATTAAAGCTAAAGCTTAAAGATAAAACTGCTTTGTATCTTTATCTAGAAATTTTTATCTGTATCAACATTTAAAGTCTTTTAAAGTCCTTTCTAACTTTTCTCTTTCAAAGAGAAAAGTTTTCTCTTCCAGTCAAGCAAACTCTCCATTCATTTCACTTCTTGATACTCTTTTCTTAACTGTATATCTTTTGTTATCAATAATAAATATATTAATATATCAATTTAGATGTTCCCTGTGCGGGTAGCGGTGGAAACCGTGCGACCCGAGCACTGTATTTCTTGCGCACACGAGGGACACCGATTATTGGATACATATGCTGTTGTTTCAGGTATAAAATCAATTTGATAAATAAAGTAGACATTAAAAATAAGCTCACTGTTCAAATCTAAAATACTTTACAAGTTCCAGGCTCCACCAATCTCTCGCAATTGGTCGAAACGGTTCTGTCGGCCCTTGGCCATCCTCAACTCGCTATGAATTCGAGAGGTTGGTCTAAATTTTCAAATTATTAGTTTTTATGATATTTGTATATTGATTTTCTTTGATTTCTCCTAATCTGACTAGTCATAATATTTTCATGACTCTTGTTTTCTTATTTCTTTTCCACGTTTTGTCTTCTCGGGAATCTGGATCTTGAGCTTTATTTTAATTGAAATCAAATAGCTAGATATTGGAAAGAATTGGAAAAGGAATAGCTAGAAATCGTAAAATATCATAAAATTTATAAGCTTCTTCACTAAGATCAGTATCAAGATGAGTTTTACCTTCAGATCTTCCTTTCAATCTGTAATCAATGCCAAGCCAAGCCAAGAACTGCTTTAGAAAACCATTATTTAGATTTGAGAGCTCAATACTCGTCTTGATTGTTTTATTTTTAATCCTATATTGAACAATAACATGAGTAATAAGGAGAATTTGAAATCCATTGTGTAGATCGTCGAAATTCTCATTCAAATCCCCAACTTTCACCCTTACCAACTCCATCAATCGATTCCCTTCTGTGCCCAAAAATGTCATCAAATGGGGTTTTTTTTGGTGGAAAGAAAACTGTTGCCCTTTTCAGCAGACCCTGATTCATTTTCTGAAAAGAAATTCCCCCCTTTTTTTTCTTTTTCATATCTTTCTCCAATCCTATTTTATATATCCAAATGTTCTTCTTTTCTTCACCTTTCAAATATGTCTATGGAATTTTTCGATCCATTGTGCCTCATATTTTTGCTTTTATCTGCTACGGTAGCTTTTGGAATTGAAAATAGAATTGATCATCGTTTGAAATTTTGGATTGAAAGGTTTAATTAACTGAGTTAAAGCTAGGTAAAATTTTTCAAAACAACTGAAGATCTTTAACTAAAGTTTACTCTTTACTGTAGTTTACTGTTTACTGTTTATGTTTACTGTATATTACTGTTTACTGTATTTAGTTGATCGTTTTCTGGTAAAGTGAACTAGGTTGGGGTCCTCGAAACTTTGGGGATCTGACCCACCGAATTCTGGCAATCTAGTTGAAAACTTTGGTTTCAAGTTCTCTATTGAATTAGCCAGCTTTAAGCTAAGGACTATATATAAAAGAAAAGTTTTTGTCCATCCGTCTGTCGGCTCCCCGTGGGCCGATTTATATGATTTTTAGTTTGGTAGGCTTAGAATTCTATGTAGTTGTGCATCTCATCTTTCGTTTTTTTAAAAAGCAAAAGTCAAGACATAACCGGGAGTCGAACCCGGGTCGTCTGGTCTCTAGACAAGGGCGCTGCCAACTGCAGACAAGGGCGCTGTAGACAAGGGCGCTGTAGACAAGGGCGCTGTAGACAAGGGCGCTGCCAACACGGCTGGTCGTTGATAGCTCCCAGTATAATCGTGATATAGAGATTCAAAGGATTAACTAGTATCCATTGAATGCTAGTTAAAGTGTGAACTTTACCGTAGAAGTATTAAAGTAAAAGTACAAAAATTGAAGCCAATCTCTTTTGTGAGCATATTTCCTATGAACTATTCGATGATTAGCCTATCACAGCGATATCTCAAATCCCCATTCCCCTGTTCTGTTCACCCTTTGATCTGTTCAATTATTCGCAGTCAGTCACACGATGTTTTTCCCCTTTTCGCCCCCGTTCTCTCCTCAATTTTCGCCCCAAAAGGGGATTTTTCGGGATTTTTCCAATCGTTCGCCCTGCCATGAGATTTCTCGACGAGATTTCCCAGGGCCTTCCCCCAAAATTTCATCCAAAAGATCAGCCTTTTCGCTGGAGTTTTTTTTCAAAATTACTATGTGAGAAGAGGGAAGATTTGGGGAAGATCTAAGAGATAAGAAAAGAACGAAAAGGCAAGGATTTTGTGACACAACCGATTTGTACATATTTTGAAATCCCAAATCGTTTTTATAGAGGCTGGCGAGGAGAGGGAAATTTGATGAATGCATCGATTTATTTAGAGATTTGAGAGCAGTTGGCAGGATCAGGCTCGCCATTGGAGTTGAAAGAGTTCTAGGTTTTGGGGGAAAATTTAATATGGATATATCAATATAATATTTCTTGAGCAAAGACTTACACCTTCCAAACTTCTAGAAATGATTCCCTTCTTCTATATCCCGAGCAAAGTCTTACATCAACCATTTCTCAATCTCCAACCAGCCTTCCCCTTCTCAACATGATCCCAAATCCTTCAGACACTCTCAATCTTCTTTCTATTTCTTTTTCCTGTTCTTGCAAAGGATTAATCTCGATCGGACTCCGATTTTGGCATTTCTCCATCAAAATCTCTCTTTTCATTGGGGGTAGAGATTGGGATTTTCACTCTTGTCGACTTTGTGGAGAAAGCGACCTCGACTCAATCCCCATTCGAAGGCGGATCAAAGCGGGGAATTGAGTTGCTTGAGTTTTCGAAAACTCGAGGAATCTAGAGAATTTTTGTAGCTGAGAATAAGGGACCTAGGTCTAGTTCTAATTAAAATTTACTTACTACCAGTTGTTGAAGAGCTCAGCTAGCCTAGGCTTTAGCTGAAAAATTTAAAACTCAATCTTTTCCACCTTGAGGTGAAATCTAAATTGCTCAATTCTCATTAGCAATTTTAGGCTTAAATTTGAGCATCAAATTTTTGAAAGACTTTGCTCTGCGGGGTGATTTTTCACTAATCCCGATCAGTGCAAAAAGAGAGAGTTTATTTTCTGATCTGCTGATAGTCGGCTGGCTTGTTGAATGGGTGGAAGGGGAGTGGAGGGGAATTTGCCAGAGGGGATCAGGTTTCCCTTCTTTCACAGCCCCGGTCCCGTCACCCGTACAGAACAGTGCAGAGGAAGACACCTAAACATTGAGTAGAATGGGGAGATCACCTCGAGAATGGCTGGTGGATGGGGTGGAGAAAGTGAGAAAGGAAAGCTAGTTTCTTTCAAAGCCTCTCCACATCAAGGCATGCTTTTAAGAGTGTCAGGGTCAACGAGCCATCGAGGCTTGGCTTTAAATGAACGAATGAGAATGGCAAATAAAACTCTAGGACTTCTAATTCTAGTGGAACTAATTTGACAATCAAATGAAGTTGATTGCTTATTCCAGAGTTGATCATAGCTTTTTTTAACCTAAGCTTGGCTTACTTGGCTTTAGTTTTACCAACTCTATCATATCAATCGACTTATCTGATTCCCCTGGTTTAGTAAAGACAAGCTTGATCTCTCAAATTCTTAAGCTAAACTCAAGCTTTGATCGTGTAACCTCAAGCTCGAGAAATTCTTCTTCACTTTCAATCCTCTCCCCCACCTGAGAGCTGTTTTTGCTTCAGGGTCAGGCTCAAGAAAGAGAAAGGAAAGCTGCGTTGTGCGTTTTTCTCAAAGAAAAGAAAAGACGATGCCCCAACAACCACAGGCAATGGCATAAAAGACGATCTCGAAGAACTGGTTTCAAGGGGAAAGACGAGGGAAATCTCGAATAAAAAGGGAAAGAAGAAGGGAAAGAAGACATTCACTCCAAGAGGTCGTGAGGCTCAGACTATTGGGGAGAAAACTAAGAGGAAATTGCCAACCAGGGGATCAACACTCAGGAAATGGGTTGAAGTGGAAAGAAGGGGAAAACGGAGATTGAAATGAAAGAAGGGACCTCGATTTAGATAGGAGATTGGATTAGGGAAGATACCGTAATCTTTGATGTAGGAAAGTGAAGGTGTAGGGAATTGGATTTCTTTTTTAAAATCTAAATCCAACAGTATTTTGAGATTAAAAAGCATCGATTCCTTTTTCCCATTTCTGTTCTTTTGATTTCAATCTTTTTCTCTTTAATTCTACTGTTCCTACCAAAAAAATATCTTTTTTTATTTAAAATAAAAAAAATGTTCAGGATTGGTTCAAATCAACAATTGGAAAGCCTTGCCTTTTGAAGCGATTACTGATAATCCAGAAGAAAGCGTTGAATCACTCTTCAAAGATATCGCTGGGCATATAACGTTGAGGATATTAGCAAAACAGTGAGTTCAAGAACTAAAAGATAAACAAAAATATAGGAAACCATCAGTAAAAAAACTTTTTGGAGCAAAAAAGGAAAAGAATTGGCGGCAAGAGGAAACGAACCCGCGACCTCTCTTCCGTTCGTTTGAGAGACACACGCGTCAACCACTCGGCCATGCTCATGGCGCAGTGCAGCGCACTTATCTTTACCCCACACGACCCGGCACTTTTGGTTTTTTCAAAATTTAAAAACATTTTGCACAACTACATGGAATTCTAAGCCAAACAAACTATAAGTGATTTGAAACGGCCCACTGGGAGCGGAGGAGTAGTGCCCACAAGCAGACAGACATTTTAATCCCTTTATAAAATAGATATAGTCAAAAATGGAAATTAAATGCTTTAAGTGTTAGTTTCGAAGGTTTTCAGTGTTTCAGTTGTTCTGTACAATTGAGGTTGGATGTAGGAATAGTAGGCTTGTTAGATAAGTGGATTAATAGTATCATTTAGCTTTTATTGTTTATCAATATCAGTCTTCATTCATTTCTTACGTCAACTCAGAGCCTAGATATCTCAAGATGTCAAGAAATTTAAAAACATTTTGCATAACTACATGAAATTCTAAGCCAAACTAACTATAAGTGATTTGAAACGGTCCACTGGGAGCGGAGGAGTAGTGCCCACAAGCAGACAGACATTTTAATCCCTTTATAAAATAGATATAGTCAAAAATGGAAATTAAATGCTTTAAGTGTTAGTTTCAAAGGTTTTCAGTGTTTCAATTGTTCTGTACAATTGCAGGTTGGATGTAGGAATAGTAGGCTTGTTAGATAAAGTGGATTAATAGTATCATTTAGCTTTTATTGTTTATCAATATCAGTCTTCATTCATTTCTTACGTCAACTCAGAGCCTAAATGTCTCAAGATATCGAATGTTTCCTTGGATAGTTGGGAAAAGAGGAGCACCTGTAAATTTGCCGGGTTGAAGAGTCTGTGTCTATAGGAAAAGAGGTCCTATGTTTGCGAGGTATTGTGTGGAGGCGAGCCGCCGATTCTGAAGATGTAGAGAGCATGCAATCGTGGAGACTCGGGATCGACCAAATCTGAGCACTCTCCTCTCTCTTTTCACCACTTCAGAATACCCGACACCTTCTCTCTTTACCCTTTTTATGTATAGGCACAAATGGGCCTATCCCAGTCTTTCTCTCTTTTTGCTCGGTAAAACGAGTCACGGTGAGATCTCGACTTTCACCTCAATCCATAGAAAGACTAAGAGATGGGGAAAGATCAAGGGACCAAGAGAATGTTTTAAATCAAAGAAGAGATTGGGATCACTATAAGATCAAACTTTATAAAAGGAACGAGTACAGTACACTCAATTTCCTCTTTCCAGTACTGGTCCCGATCACACGCAATGCATCACTGAGGTGAAGAATCGATTGCTGAAAATGGCATACAATCGGCAGCCGACTCTTCTCTCAACTGTTGACAATCAACAAATCAAAGTGATTCGATTTTTCCTTTAGGATTTGATCTTAACCCTTAATCCTTCAGGATTTGATCTCACAATTGATAACGGGTGACGATTCGTCGACACTTCTCGATCATGAACAAATTGGAGCAATCAGTGAATGGTTGGATCAAATGGATGCACAAGAGGATCGAAAGAGGTGAGCAGATTGGGTCTAATTCTTGTCATATATCAGATTTGGCAAGCTTTAGGAATAAGAGCTTAAACTAAAAGTCTAAACAAAGTCTAAACAAAGTCTAAAAGGCTTAAAGCTTTAAAGCTTAAATCTTTAAAGCTTAAAGCTAAACAGCTTCTATATTTCCTTTTCTTTTCAAAGTCGCTTCTCAATCCAATATCTACCGTAATCCTAGTTGATGGCTTAGCCGTTTTCCGGTGAAAGAGCTGAGTAAAGAGATGGGAGGATTGGGATTGGCTGACTGGAAGGGGGAAAGGGGAAATCGAGAATTTCGGGAGAGAAAAGAGAAAAGAAAGGGAATGAGAAAGGGCCGATCCTAATCCCGTGCCCCCTTCTTTCCTTAGCGCCACCCCCATTCTCTCTATGTACACGCCGGTTAAGCCCCCACTCCCCCCGCTCCAATCTCGCTCAGCCTCCAGTCTCTTCAAGGGATTTGCGGGTGAAATTAACTCGGGCACCTTTGAAAATTTCAAGACAAACCATTCCAACCTCAATGTATCCTGTAGTCAACTAAAAGACTCAGATTATCCCATTTGAACAAACAATATTGATATATAATTTAGTTTTCAAAGAACTGATTGAATCCAGCTCTAGCTCGTCTAGACCCCGAGTCTTTAAGTGATCTTGATCCAGCACCTCAAACATTTCTATTCTCTTGTTTACAATAGATCTTTGGTGAACATATGCAAGATGAGCCCTTGATTGAGGCCAATTCGGTTGGGGATCCTTGGTTGGATTCACATCGCGATCAACCCAATTATCTAGGAACAAAGACAAAGGACTTTCAAAGTTACAAGTTTTATTTAAACATTGTAACTGTGTCGAATGATAGGAGATGACGCAGAAAGACTGGGGGATGGCTTCATTCCATCGCCAAAGCTAAACCCTCCCAAAGCCTAAGCCTGTTCACAGGGCCGTTATCAATCTATAAAAGGAAAAGAGCGAAGGGGAGGAAAGAGTCTAAAGTCTCGTCGGTGTTGAGCGGCTCTCACGGATTTGAATGCCGAATAGATGGAGGGAAATGGAAAGGAGGGAGAGGATGATAAGACCATGAGATCCAGAGAATGGGGAAGTTACTAGTTTCGGTTTTCAATCCAAAAATGTTGAAAGCTCAATGAGCTGAAAAGGATTGGCATGATTCAGGCTCTATTAGGCAAAAACTGTTATTGGGATTAATCGAGCCAATCAACACTTACTCCCAGTACTGATTCTATTGTTGTAGTTGTATGATAATGACAATCTTGTCAGGCCTGGGGTGATTAACTAAAGAATACGAGACAAAACTTACAAAATGTCTATACTCTGGATGTGGACTGATTTGTGCTGATTGTGCTGATTTGTCTAGTTTAAGCTGATTTGTACAGTTGTAGAATCTCAATGATCTTTCCAAATCGATCACGGGGGTGATCAACTCTCGGATGGATTTGAATGCCGAATAGGGCGAAGGCAATGGGGGATGATAAGCCTGAGTGAGAATAGAGAAAGGGGAAAGAGAAAGGCCGATGCGTTGCCTGAATATCAATTCCCTTTCCTTTGGGGATCGGGCCGTAATCCCCGTCTCCTTCTTTTGCTCTCTTTTTCCATCTCTTTCCAAATACAAACAGCGCCCTCCCTAAATGTGAATCGTTTGCCCTATCCATCCAAACATACAGGGATCAGCTCATGGATGAAAGGAAAGATCAAAAATTGGGGACTTTCAAGGATAAGCAATGAGAATAGCAGTCATAGGATTGATCGAATCGATCGATCGATCGATCGAATTGATCTTGATCCTTACTTTGTACTTGAGAAATCGAAACACACAATTTCTGGCGCTCTATATCTTCTATTTCTCGTATTCCAAGTCATTTTATGGGAAAATTCAAGAATTTAGTGTAGAAGGATCGTGTTTTAAGCAATAGCTCTAAAGAAGGACTCATTGGTTAGCTGTGAGCTTACAAAGTTCAAGTAAACTTGAGAGCTTGTATCTAATGTTTGAATCCATTATCTTCTTTCATCTCAAAAAGCACAGCTTGCACGTGCAATAGCTATAAACATTCCATAAAACACATCCTATTGAGCGCAAAAGAGTCACGGATCAATCGATTGGGCCAGCGAATTTGTGCCTGCCTGTGATCCCTTGTCCCTCTTTGATCTTTGTTTGTATCTTCTTCTCATTCACAAGCTTTCTTCAATCTCATCCCATCTCTTCTATGTATAGCCCAAAGAATGAATCATATCGGGGCGCCGAGCGCGAGCACTCTTTAAGAAAAATCGACACTACAGAGAGCTTTTCTTTAAGATAAATGGGAGAACTAATGTACAGGGAATAGTTGAGAAATCGAGACAATTAAGCAAAATGTTAAAATTTCAATTTTAGTCCTCTTTCCTCTACTCCGGAGAAATTCTCATCGCTCTTCGAGGTCCCGAAACTTGAGAAATGGTTCAAGAATGATCCAAATCCATCTCGACAAAAATTGCTGAACTATGTGAATATTCTGAATGGATTCCCGTACAGGAGAAGCAATGGAAAGATCAACTATTCGCAGGTGAGCTTGACACTTTGAACTTTTGATTTAAAGCAATGTATTTCAGATTTGTACTTGGTTTGCGAGTGAACGAACAAAAGTCAAGCCATCGGCAAGGGATACATTGAACAGCATATTGTCAAGTGGCTCAGTACCGCTCAGTCTTCTGCCCGATTTTCGAGGGAAATTCGATTTGCCGACACCGACTTGCGAGAAAGATGTTTGTGATTTGATGGGTAAAATTTGTATTTTTTTTTTGTGAATTCAGGAGATTCGAGTCGATTCGGAGTCACCTGGACCAACCGATGATCACTCGGCGCACAGCAGTGATAACGGAAACGTTGACGAGTATGGGTTGAAGCAGGTTCGTAAAGAAAGCTGGTTAAAAATCTATTTGATCTAATGCTCTAATTTCTACTTAAATCTACTTAAATCTACGTAAACCGATTTTTTTAAAGCTTTACAACTTAATATCTTTTGCCCTTTCTTTAAGCACATAAAGCACAATGTTTATTCGAGGGTCTAAGAGTGTAATGAATGGATTATGGAAATGTGGAATGGAAGAGAGAAGGGCATGATTGTTTCCCTCAAAAGCTCACCCTTTTGTGTGCCAAATCCCCTTTGATCCCTCGTTAGATATCGAGAAATCCCCTCAATATGTATTCGGCTGAAATCTCAATGCTTTATTTTCTAATAGACTGAAAGAGTATAGGGAATTGTAAAATTAACTTTTTGAATTTTAAATTTGACTAAAGAAAATGGAAAAGTTGACTTACTAAAGCTAAAGCTAAAGCTAAAAGATTCTCTTTTGAGTCTAGTTACTTGATCTCTAAAGTTAACCAACTTTAGTCAATCAGTTGAATCAATTGAATCAGTTCAACCAGTCAATCAGCTCAATCAATTGAATCAGTTCAACCAGTCAATCAGTTTGAATCAATTGAATCAGTTCAACTAGCCAATCAGTTCAACTAATCAATCAGCTCAATCAATTGAATCAGTTCAACCAATCAATCAATTCAATCAATTCAATCAGTCAATCAGTTTGAATCTACTTGATTTCTAAGCTAATCAATCAATTTTAAGCATAATATTTACTCTCAAAAACTTGTTCAAATCATTTACATCCTTTGTCGATATGACTAAAAGCTTTTAAAGACCTCGTAGACAAAAGACCATAGGAAATAGACCCTCATATTGTTTTGTCTTTGAAAAAGCGCATTGGCCGAATTTGGGGGAGCTTTTTGAGAGGAATTTGTTGTGGCTGTCACTAACAGCTTGGGAGGAGAAGAAGGAATAACAGAAATTTAGCTAAAATTTGAGCTAATTTATAGGGGTTGAAAAGTAAGAACATTTTGAAGTTAGGTCTAAAAGCTTACCACAAAACGATTTACTTTTAGGAATCGACAGCCTCATCCCCGGATCTTTCCATGGGAATGCCACTCTCCGTTGCTTCATCATCTCCAAAACACCCGGGATTGCTGGGAATTCCTTCGGATCTCTCATCGTTGTCAGCTTTGGGTGGATTGGGAAATCTTGGAGGCCTTTCATCGGTCCTCGCAGCACAGGTGAATATTTTCAAATGGATTCTAGACACTTGTTATTAACTCCTGTGTTAGCAATTTCTAAGCCTAGATCCTGCTGTTAGAATTAAGCTAACACTTGACTTACTTTTATTGCGTTGGGGTAGTACTGGAGCTTTCTGAAGTGCTGGTACTGAAGTACTCTAAGCAAGCTTCTGAAGCGACGAGCTCTTTGAATAGTAATGTAATCGCGATAACCCCTTTTCCTTATAGCTAACATGACCAATAAGGCCTAGCCGAGGTGTTTTATTGCTGGTTAAAAACCGATAACAATTACTGTTTTGGAAAGCCAATGGGCCAACTTTGTCTCAAATTTTGTCATACAAGTTCTTTTCACAGCCAGTGATTGTTGATTTAAAGTTTCAGGCGGCCATTCAACAGCACCATCAACAGCAGCAATTGTTGGCTGCCCAACAAAGCCAGCACAGTCTCTCGAATTTGCCGAGCTCCGGTTGTAATACACCAGCGCCACAGGTTAGAATCTAAATCAAGTAAACAAATGTTAAAATGTTATAGACTATAATCAGATTTTTTTCAGCATCAAGTTGCCCGTTCGAGACTGATGTTCGATCCATTGACAGAGTTGCCGGTGTTAGAGAAATGGTTTGAGGAGAATCCCCATCCAACTTGGATGCAAATCGATCAATATACGCAGACACTCAATAGTTGTCCATACAGGTGAGTAAGGGATAAGGCCCCATTCTGGCCGCTAGGAGGCGCATGACGGCACAGTTCAGTGGTCGCTCACCTGATAAGCGGGAGGCCGAGGGTTCGAATCCCGGTGTTGAACGTTTTTTTTGTTTCCCCAGCTCAAGAGAACGGTCTTGTCCAACTGTGGCAACAAATGTCAATGAATGAACAAAACTGATGAAATCTATTAAATTAAACCGCAAAAGTTTCCTTTGCAAAGATGGATTTTTAGAGAAAACTACCCGCCCATCTCTCAACACAACGTGAAGATTTGGTTTAAAAATCGACGAGCGAAATGTAAACGAATGCAAACGGGAATCTCAGATCAGAAATCGCTCGTCGAGAAGCTTTTCGCTCAAGTACAATGAAAATTTCATCTAGATTTTGTGTAATTTTGATTACTGTAACCGTTACATTATTGTAAACTTGATGCAAGATAGAAATAACCAATAACTCCAGTACAATTGCACCGAATTACTGTAGCTTGTTCACATTATATTCTGCAGTAGCCAAAGTACTGTAGACTTGATAGAACTCATTTTTTACAGTACAAAAAGTAAAATTCTATTCTGCACAGGGTTACTGTAACTTCTCGACATTCTATCATTCACATTCCCCAACAATTCCTCTATCCGTGATCGCTTTAAGCACTCGTTCTCATCCACCACCGTACTTTCGTCATTCCATGTTTGTTTTTTCGATTTTCTTTGCTTTATTATAAAACCAAATCGTTAATCTGATACCTATATAAGAATTTTCTTCTCAAAAACCCACGAAAGTATTAGGCTTTATTGGTGCTTTCCTGCTTTCCTCCAAAAAAAAAAACAAATTTCTTTTCACTAATCTTATAAATGATTCAGGGCAAAGCTGGAATTAAATCCTAAATTCTATATCTAAGAAAAATTTGAATTGAAATATCATTTAAATCTTAGCTTGGAGTACCGTAAAAGCTTGATAATAGTCTTGGCTCGTTCATTGAGTTCAATTCTCTAAAAGTTGGCTACTTTCTTTCAGCTTTTTCCCTCGATTTACTTAATTTTGACTTAAAACGATGAGAAATTAAGCAGAAAGGGCAAAATCTGATCGAAAGATTACGAAGCTTTCCAAATTATTCAGCTTTTAGAAGACGGCATTCTATTGCCAAATTCCTCAAGCTTTCACGGTGCCATTTTTTATCCAATTTTTCAATTTTCCTAGAATTTTGTGGTGCAAAATGTGCCTTATCTTAGCTTATTAGAAAATTATCCTAATTTTTTTTGTTCTTGGTTGTGTGTATTTTCCTCGTTTCTCTCGATTTCTCTCAAAATTTGGACGCTTTCAAGTAATTTACATCAATAATATCGTAGCTCGAAAAGTTTTTTAGATTTTTGGCTGTACATAAAAATCGTTGATATGTTTTTTTTTGTGTTTGGAGAAGCTAGAGGCTTATTTATGTGTTATTTCAATAGAAAAATCTTCTTATTTCTTCTGGATGATAAATTTTTATCTGTTATTTCAGGGAAATTGAAAATACATCGGAAAAGGGAAATTTTATAGGATTTTGGGGCTTTCCAGGTATTTTCAAAGGGCATTCATGCTCTGATGATCCATAACTTTGTCTAGAGGTAACATTAATGCAATAACTTTTTATATCATTATATAGACCTAAGCTCAATAAAGTGAATGGCTCTAATCGATTTCCTGCCGAAAACTCAATTCAGTGGAAGTAAACTCGTAACTATACTCAAACTCACACTGAGCTACACTTTTTTGTTATCTATGCTTGCGTTAATTCCCAGAGGTAATTAAAAAACGATTTGAGGTGTGTAAAAACGAGGAACGGTGATGTTTCTGAAATTATTTGCTGATTCAGGGTTTTGATTCCAACAGGTTCATCTTTCAATTAGGAATGTGTAAGGAAGGACTTTTCATTGTCGTAATCAGGCGACGAAGTCGAAAAGTTTGAAAAGGATTAAGTTTTTCAAAAGCACCTAACAGTTTTATTCATCCTGATTAAGTTAAATATTCGAACGACTCAGAATTTTTCTGCTACAGTCACCGGATATCTTGAAAACCGAGTTAGCTAAAGTTTTTTTTGTCTTGTGAGTAAAATCGGGTAGTTCCTATTTCATATATTCGCGCTGACGGCATTTTGGGCGTATAGTTGCGTAGTTGTTACGTTCTACTGATAATCTGGTGAACATTCAAAAATAAACTAAACTTTTATAGTCATTTGATAGCCCAGAATCTCCTCTTGAAAACTAATACAAAGTTACCGAGAATTTTCTGCGAAATTTTGGGCTCGATTCGAGTCACTCTTTTTTAAAAAGCTAATGTCTAACCACAATACAACGAAAAAGCAACACAGAAAACTTTGGGCTCTCAATTTGGGACAGTCGAGAAAATCTGAATAACGACCAAATGTGGGAGTAGGCTAATTTGTCATCAATATCGACATCGACATGTCATCAATAGCTACGTTCGTGATGCTGAAAGTCACTTACAATTGTGTCTGAATGAAGAGGGTCTGCTGCAAATGGTAAAGCGAATAAAAAAGAAAGAAAGGATCACTAACTGGGCGCACAATATTGACGTTTCTATATTTGGTAGGGCTTTTTTAAAATAATATTTACATTTCATCTTTATTTATTTAGCAACAAAATTTCTACGAAAGGATACGTGTTCCCAATTCAAAAAAGGAGATGCAAAAGTTTTGAAGATATTTGCGCACGATGTCGGTTTAGCTAAAGCAGGTTTTCCTTACAATTACGTGCATTATTTTTTGTAGTAAATAAATTTAGAATAAGTTTTGGGTCGCCGTTGCAACGTTTTTCCCGTGCCCTAAGGACTTTGCTCAACTTTTTACCATCGGAGTGCAAGTTTGTTGAGTTTTTTGGTAATTCAAACATTGGCTTTAGTTGGATCAACTCCTTGCCTCTTTGCCTACATTGGAAGTAAAGAATCAGCAGTTACATCACGAAGTACAGGCACCTTTTGGGAAAACTCATATCCAGGGTGTGATGGCGGTTGCCTACATTGATCCATTAGAAGTCGATCGCTATTTTCAAGAACTGAAACAGTCTGCAAATGTAAATGCGAATGCACAAATTCTTCCAAAAATCAACAGTTTGTTTTTCAAAGTAGACTGAAAAATGTTTGCTTCAGGGTTTTACAAATTGTTCGAGCGATCATATTTGGGACGTTTTACCATCCCAGGATTTCGTGGGCCAGCAAAATAAGAGATGAATAAGTGGAACGCTGGTGAGCGTGTACTTCTTGGTCAACAGATTGGAAACTCTGCTCAAGCGGGATTTCACACTTTATTGAAGGTTTGCTAGAAAGCTTTCTAATCTTTTAACTCCGACTTTTTTAGAAGGGACCCAAGAATCCGTATCCATCTCATACTGCGGTCAGACTTTACGAAGAAATGACGCAAATTTCAACCGTTTCAAGCTTTCATCGGCTATCAATCTCACTGTTGGACAAAACTACGCACGGAAGAAAGCTGTATTGGCTCGACAAAAGCAACGTTTTACTGCTATTTCTAATGGTCGCTTGTGCGGTTGCGATTTTGTGCAACATCTTTCTCAGCTTTTGCCTTTTATTAAGAAATTTTTATTGTTATTGTTGTCCTAACTTTCATTGTTATCGGTTGCACTTTTTTGTTAAAACAATAAAATATTTTACTAATGGTTGTTAGCTCCTAGAAAGGACTAATTTAGATAAATATTGAAAGATTGTGTAAAAAATTGGAAGATTTCATAAAAAAATTGAAGAAAAGTTTTAAAAAAACAATAAAAAAGCTCAAAAATGAAAATAATGAGGGAGTGGGGCAAATGCGACCTTTTTTTTGCGCACCCGGACATTTGCGCACCTTGCTCATTAGCGCACCTTTTTCGCGTTTTAAAAAAGCTCTAAAAAGCGAATATTAACCAATTTCTATTCCAAATGTTGTTTTTCTAGGTAATTTGAGGGTGTCGAATTCAAATTTTGACATAACAGAGCGTGTGGAACCAATTTGAAAGACAAAACGGCTAGATCAAATTACAGAAAATTGTCGATTTTTCTCTTTGTATAACTCCGTCCGTTTGTTTCCACAAGCTCTGATATGTCAAAATTTCGATTCTACGCCCTAAAATTACCTAGAAAACCAACTTTTGGAATAGAAATTGGTTAATATTAGCTTTTTAGAGCTTTTTTAAAACGCGAAAAAAGGTGCGCTAATGGGTAAGGTGCGGAAAAAAAGGTCGCATTTGTCCCACTCCCAATAATGACAAAAAACCCGAGTGCTTAATACAGGGTTAAAGTTGCGCAAACATACATACTTGCGCAAATAAAATGGCGGAAATTAGTCTACCCCAAATGTGCATTTAAAGCCCAAATAGCTGAATATTTTGTGTGAAATCCAAAGTTCCGGAGAAAAAAAAGGTACGGGTTTTTGAAAGTTTCGCAAAACTTTGTATAAGTTGGTCATTCACAATTTTTGGCCACTTCCGACCATTTTCCTGACTTAAATTCCACAATTCTCAACTAGGTCGAAAGATTCGTGCAGCTCGCAAGCAAACCGCTTTTCGCCCCTTCTCAAGCTAGGTCCCGTCGCGATTGCTTTTCGCCTTCAAGTCGCCCAACGATCGATCTCACGGGCGGCTCAATTTTTATAAACTTTAGAATATTAAAATGCGTTTGTTGCGTTAAAACGCTATGATTTTGCCGTATTTCAAGTAAAGTTTATAAAACTTTAGCTGTCTTTTTGAAATTTTTGTTTAAGCTGTTTGCATCTTTAGGTTTTGTATCAATATCTAAGTTTAGCACGATAAATTCTGCGATTCTAGTGCAACTTTACTGGAATCCGGTTTACGAATGCCCATTTTGATGTTATACACTTTGCTCAGTAAAAGTTAATGACTATTTACGTTGGATTTAAAGTTTCTAAAGTAATTTAAGCTTCACTAGAACGCAATGATTTCATTTTATTGTTTTCTTTACGATTTCTAAATAAATTTACTTGTCTAGATGCTGTCGTCTCTCGGTCGCTGCGCGTTGAGGGCTTTTGAGGGACTCTCCATCTCTGCGACGACAAGTTCCGCATTTCAACTGCAACAACGGACGTTCACGAGAAGTGCCGCCTTATTGAAGAGTATTCGAGATGAGCAACGAGCGGGCACGAAAGTCTCCCCAGCACAACAAGATGCCTTTGATGGAACAGCCGGCTCGGAGCTTACCGTTCCCGTCAATCTAAAAGGCGCTGAAAGTCGACTACCCACGGCTGAAACTTACAAGGAGCTCTTCAATGGCATCCCTTTCTCCGATTTGCCGATGGTTTACATCAAAGCGACGAAGAACAACACCCTGGTGCAAGCAGTTGATCCAAAGACGAGAAGTGTGATCATGTACACGTCCTGTCGTTTGGAAGGCTTCAAGAATGCTCGCAAGAAGACGAATATTGCTGGACAGACAACTGGAGTGGCGGCAGGACAACGACTCGTGCGTAGAGGAATTCGAACGGTTCGTGTGCAGGTCAAAGGAATAGGACCTGGCCGTATGACAGCAGTGAAAGGATTGACCGTTGCCGGAGTACAAGTTGTAGCGATTACCGACTACACACCGCTAAAAGAACTTGGACCAAGACCGAGAAAGATTAGACGAATTTAATTTGTACATTTGTTGCTGTTGATTGTGCGAAATTTTATGTTTTGTAATACGATTTCGAGGGTTCTTGTATTTATTGTTTTTCTATTATTTTCACTGGTTGTTTTCAAGTGTCTTTGTGTAAAGGTCAGGCTTTTTTGATTTAGGGCCGATCGACAGGGATGTCTTTGTCGCGACTGGTTCCGAGCAAGGGTACACGAGTGCTCATTATTCCCATCCAAAGCCGAACTGCCGCACATGCTGCTCGTAAGTTTTTTTGAAGCTTTTTTGAGTCATAAGCCGGTTATTAGCAAATATTAATGAACTTATTAGGCAGTGGTGCTATCATCGGTGCCAAATCATATCATATCCTTAAGCCACTCAAAGCTAAGAATTATTTTAGCCTACTACATCAACCTATAACCTGTTGCATCATTGAGCTTTTCTTTCGTTTAATTATGACGTAATTTAGCCGCTGCCGCTGCCGTGAAGACCGGAGATGAAGAGCCAAGCTTCTTCCAGAAAATCGCCCTGCGCTTTCAGGGTATTTTTTAGTATCTGGGGTTTATTTTAATCTTTTTTAGGAATTCCATTGAAGGGTGAAGCTCAACGACCAAAGACTATGTTTGATGACCTCGACAAGGAGTTCGTCCCACCAGAGCCCCTTCCAGCCCTGCCAAAGGACTTCAAAGAAGGCCCCGAACGCGACTTGGTATAATTTAAAGAAAATAACAGCATTAAGGCCTTACTAATAGCAAAAGAGATATGTTAGTAAAATAAAAACGAGGTCTTAAACCTTAAAAATTGGTAAATGTGTTGAGCGACAGTTGACTAACTGAAAGCTTTTTTCAAAGCAATTCAGTTTGATTAAGTAACAATCTCTTAGGCCAACTTCCCGTATCCAGCTCGTTCGATGTACCCACCAAAGACGCGTCTTTTGATGGTTCCCGATTCATGGTGCACTCCATTCCATAAGATCACTGGAACTTCTGGTGCGTTTTATTGTATGTGTGTTAAATCGGCACGATTGTTTGACCTCATAATAGAGTACTTGTTTAGGCCCATATCTTTTCTACGGAGGACTCTTCGCTTTCCTCGTCAACAAGGAACTATGGGTGTTTGAGGAGCAAGGACACATGCTTGTCGGATGGCTCATCTTCTACTTGCTCGTCTCAAGAGCTGTTGGACACAAGCTTGACGCGTCTCTCTACAAGGGCTACACAGAGAGGTATTAGATTCTGATAGCGTTTTTGCAAATCATTTCTTTTAGAATGAACTACTTCAAGGGACTCATCCAGGAAGATCTCAAGGATGCTGTTGAGTTCCGCAAGGTAATGCTTAAATCATAAGTCTAATTTTATTCTGTTTCTAGACATCGGCCGCTGAAACCGAATCGTTGGCCACGGTGAAGGAAGCTTTTCCAACGATCCTGAAGGAAAACATGCAACTCCAACTCGAGGCTGCCTACAGAAAGAACGTGTCAAATGTGTCCAACGAATTGCAGCGCCGCATTAACTTCTTGAAGGTTCGTATTCAGAAGTGCTAGATTAAGCCAGTTAAAATTAATTTAACATTTGTTATCTCATTAACAAATAATGCTTCATTTAAAACTTTTTCTCTTTAGGAGACTGAAGAGGCCAAGACACGTTTCGAACGGGACATCATGTTGAAGTGGATCGTTAATGGAGTAAAGGGTTTATAATTTGCACAATTTTATTTTTGTTTTAGGTTGAGAAGCAAACGCAAGATTCTAAGTTCAAGGAGCAATTCTTGGCCAGCTCGATTCAACAACTCAAGGGACTTTCGGCTAAAATCTAAAGTTTGTTCTTTGGTGAATAGAAATAGATAATACGAGTGCATGGTAATAAAGAGGTAATACTTAACAAAAATACGTAAAAGGTAATACGTGTGGCTTCGAGAAAAAGTTTCTTGGCCCATGAAAACCCAATTACGAATCTTTTTTAGGCTCGAAGCTCTGTCCATCAATCGTTGTTGTGGCCTTTTTAATCGTCATCATTACGAAAAGTCTACGTTTCCTGCGATTTTTCATCGTCTGTCCTCTCTACTGCGAAATGTTAGCCGATTCGTCAGTAATGTTTTTGTAGCTCATTTTTCTCTTGTAACTAGGATATAAATTTTAGTCTCTGGTATGTTTGTTCTTTTTGTAAATCGTATCTATTATTTGAACACGGCGTACAGGTTTACAATAAAAGTTTCCAAAGTACATAGCAATCAAGCGAGAATTCTTTGTTTCCACTTCTTGCGACGTCCACTATACGCATTGTCTGGAACGTCAAATTGGGACTCGACAGGACCATTTCGAGTAGGGCAACCGCAATATTCAGCGTCAATACCAGGTGGACCTGGTGGTCCTTGAGCAGTTCCGGCTGGTCCTAAGAAAATTCTTGTTTTCGATTGGAGTATGATAGCACTATTTTTGGCGCTCGGATTGTATTGTCCATACCTGCAGGTCCCTGAGTTCCATAAGGGCCTGGTGGTCCGATATCACCAATCAACCCTTTTCCACCCGGAATACCAGATGGACCAGGTGGACCCGGTGGGCCCGGTTCACCAATTGCTCCCTGTGAGTTTATTTGTTTACTTTGTGTTTGAACCCTAACCTTTTCTCCTTGTGGCCCAAGCAAACCTTTGATTCCTTGAACCCCATTAATGCCCGGGAATCCCTGGAAATGTTTTAAATTATTGTGCGTTCAAAACGTTACTGGTTCTCCGTCAGCTCCATTTGTTCCATTGAGCCCGGGTGAGCCTGGTTCACCAATGGGCCCATTCTTGCCATCTTGACCACGAACTCCCGCTAATCCAAGATCACCTGGGCGACCCTGGAAAGCATTTTGGATTTAATATACAGGTATTACAGTACTGATACAGTAGGGCTAACCTGTGGTCCTTGTTTCCCATCTTCGCCGGTTTTCCCTTTTGGACCGTATGGACATACACGACATCCATCGACTTGTTGCGAGAATTCAACGGGAAGCGTCCCGGGAATCCCTTGTTCACCCTCAGAACCCTGTTCCCCGTGATCGCCGGGTATCCCGGGCAGACCTGAATTTCTGGCTCATTCTTTTGCTATCATAAATGAATCGTACCGGCATTCCCGGGAGCTCCCGGCGGACAATCATTGAACTCTTCACACACGCAGTACTCGTATTGACGCTTTTCCCGGCCGAATATTGTGCCGGACTTTTCCTGAAAACTTTATTTGTTTTATTTTCGTTTAAAGCTCTTTACCTTGTTCAATTCGGACCAAACGAATCGCTCTAAATCTTGAAATGTCCGCATTTCGGCGTTGATTCTTTGCTTGACGCCGATTGAGTCGGAGAACAGTTTTGGAAGGGAACTAGATGATGAAAATTCGTCTCATTAGTGGAAGAGATTGAAGAATTTTGTAATAAACCAAAATTGGTACTACAAATGAAAAAATGAAGCACATACCCAAAAAGCAACGAGACGGAAGCCAACGAAATGAGGCAGGCTGTGTAGAGGAGAGTTCGCGTCTCGAAGGTTGAGCCCATGCTTAAATTTGAGAATGTCTAAAGAAGTATCATTTCAGAAGCTTTCTGTACTCTTACAATGCAAAATTACTTGCAAAATTTCAAAAAGCCAATGTTTAAGTTTTAAAATGAATGAAGAAATGGTTAGATTGAGCATCCTTTACAAAGAAATGATACAAAAAAAGTTTAGGGTTTTGAATATAAAAAGAAATAACTCTATTCTAAGCAAGAAATGAACTGGTTCTTTTACTCGCTGAGGCGCAAATCTCTCTATTCTCCACGCAAATCTCTCACTGATCCGTCACACCGAATTTTTGAGATGGCTTGGGAAATGACCTTCTATGGAAAAAGAAAAGCTTTGCTGTAAGAGTTGTAGCAGAAAGCAGCTGAAGATTTTTAAGGATACTGTAATTGCAGATGTTCTAAAGATAGAGTTGAGCCTGTTTATGATGTGAAATGTAATTCCAGTGCTTCCAGTATCCTGCCTTGTGAATCTCCTTTACTTTTAAATGAAGACAGAAATATTTATTCCGAGTTTTCTAAAGATGGACATTTGGTTGAGCCGTTTATGTACAGAAATAGGCAAAATAAGTTACATGAATCGAGAAATGACCACCGAGAAATGAATCGAATAATACCGGTACTATCCCTAGCTTAAATGTAAAATTCAATAAATAATCTACAAAATGATCAAATATCCGATCAAGAAAATCGCTCCGATGGCTGTCATAGCGATTGTGTGAATGGCGATGAAAGCGTTCAGCCAATCCTGGAAATGTTTCTGAAGTTTGAGATGGTTTGAAAGATTTAAAAGCACGCATACCAATTTACATTTAACTTTTAAAGCTATGAGGGTTCAGGTTTAGGCTTAGGCTTAGGCTTAGGCTTGGACTTAGTGCGAAGGCTAGCGGCTAGCGCCTAGCACTAAGTCTATTTGGGTTTGGGCTAAACCCCCATTTTCTGGATCTCAGCCGGTTCTCGGAGCTAAAGGACACCCGTTTGGCGGTGTGCTTTGGAACCCAATGGGAGTATGTTGACAAAATTTCAGGTCGATCTCGTGTCTGGAATTTGAGATCTGACAAGTCGATTTTGGGATTAGGCTTAGGCTTAGGCTTAGGATTAGGCTTAGGCTTAGGCTCAGGCTTAGGCTTAGGCTCAGGCTTGTTCTATAAAAAGGATCATATTAGCTTGCGAACTATCAATTTACTGTTTTCGAATACTTTTCATTGTAGCTTACTGTAGTGAAAGCTTTACAGTAATGATTAAAGTCTTTAAGCTTTAAACCTTCTCACTTTTTGATAGTTTGTAGTGGTCTTCTCGCCCATTTCGATCTCTTCTTCGGGTGCATGAGATTGAAGAGCACATAGGAATTTGTTGACAATAGCCGAGAGTCTAGAACGGTAAAAGTTATTGGAATTTTGAATTTAAGATAAAATTCAATGATTTCCACTTACTGAATGAGTTTTCCCCATGGTGGGAGCTCTCGTCGGATTCGCGAAACGGATTGGACGAGAATTGAGGCAGTGATCGAGAGAGTGTTCATGATCACTGAGAACTCCAGGAAACGCACTGAAAATTTGAAGATTTAAGTCTAAATCTTGAATTCTAGACTTTACTAAGTCTGTGGGGCGATAGATTTGTGAGAATTTCTGAAAACTGACTAAGCTTAGGCGTGGCGGAGGCTGAACCAAGATGTGGAGCGATTCTCGACGAGAACAATTGGAATGTCAAGAATTGCAGACCCAAGAGCAACAGTTTCACGTAGATTTGGATTCTGCAATTGTTTTTTTTGTCAACTTGTTGATTTAAAACCTGATCTTTCCAAGGAATGGTGAGAGAAGGAAAACCAGAGAAGTGACCATTAATGGAACGGTCAGCTCAATTCTAACAGCCGAGCTCGAGCGTTGGAGATTTATACAGAAAGATAGCTGTAATATAATTGAAATAGATGGATTAGAGTTATTCATTTAGCTAAAGACTTACTTGAGCAACTTGTGCAGGATCTTGTTGCACAGTTGGGACGGTTCCCGAGAGTTTCCATCCGTAATCTCTGAAGTATTTCGGATCAGTGAAAATGGGGAGACCCGAAGTGCTGAATTCGATGATATCCTAGAAAATTTTGATATGAAACTCTCAGGGATTTGTTTAAGGTTCATTTACATGATGAACATGTGGTTCTAAGCTGAAGCAACACTTGTAGACATCATCAGGATAGTTTTGGAAGTCCGAGTCATCGCAGAAAGAGCGAAGGCTAAAAATGGATTTGTTGTTGAAAGATATTCAGTTATCAAGTATTCTTTTATCATACCTGAAAGCTAGAGTGGCTGATAGATTTCCTTTATTCGTTGTCTCGACTTTTCTCATCTCAAAAGCATCTCCGTTTTTCAAGGCAGTCTCATAGCTGAAATCAAGCCATTTTACCCATTACTTAATAAGTAATTAATAAAATAAACCTTTCTATTTACATTTTACAATTCAAAAACTATATATTCTATTATAATAACGAACTTTTGAGCGATAAAGACGGGGAACCAAATGTGAGAAAGACTTTGAATCTCGAGATGATCCACCTGAAAGTGCAATGCAATTCTTGCAATCATTAGTACCCTACCTTCCATTTACTTTGATCCCACATTAAACGATCGTCTTCCCAACCGATCTCCATATATCCATGAATAGCCACATCTTTCAGGAACTCATTCTAAACAAGATACCTTTATTGTTTCTGGATTCTGAATAGATTGTAATCTCTGGCAGCTTTCTATCTTGCTATAATGATGCAATCCCAACTACTGACCAGCTCAAAATGTTGAAGAGTCAATTGTTGGAAGTTTATTTTCACGGGCTGCTTTGAGATGTAATTTGGTGGCACGGCAGCGATTGGGTGTGCGATGCCGAACCTGGGAAAGTTTGATTAGCTTGATTAGCTTTGATTAGCTTAAGATAGTTTGATTAGCGTTTGATTAGCATAAGATTCTTCAAAAAATTATAGTAGAACAAACTTTCTCATTCTCTTCGCTGTCTCGCCAGCCAAGTAGTAGTAGAGACATTGCTCAAGGGAAGCAAACTCGTGCTGTTGAAGGTTCTCAACACCTGGAAAAGTTATCGTCAATCTCATACAACACTTTTATCTAAAAATATTTTGTAAACCCACTCGTCAAATTCTGCAACAAGTACTGGCACGGGTCTAAGTTATCAGCGCTGCTCGATTGGGCCTAAATTTATGATAATTTTAGCTTTTAAAAGTCATTGAGTTAGCCTACTATTAGCTATTATTAGATTTTAATAAAGCTAGTTATATTATAAACCAACCCAAAGCGTTAGTCAAAAGCTTTTACCTGAAAAAATACTTGTGGAGGGGCCACAGCCCCCTCCTCCTATATTAAAAATAAAATTTAGTATGAGATATGAAAAGAAATACCTGGAATAGTACCCTTTGTGGTTGAAATCCTTGAGCTGGGGGAATGGGTTGAGCTTGAGGGGGAGATTGTTGAGCGAGAGTGAAGGTGAAGAGGAAGAGGCTGAATAGGAGAATCATCGCTGAAATGGAAATGAGAATGTTTGCATTTTGGAGAAAAGATTGATTTGAAAAGATAATGATTAGAGAATTAGAGAATTAGAAAACAAAATACTCTCAAAAATCTAAGGAAAGCTAACTTTATTTCTGAATTAGCATATTAAGAAAGATTTGGGTCATTGGATTAATCTGGATCATTTGGATCTTCTTATAGCTTTTTTATATAATTTTGAGCTTTTATTAGATAGTAAAAGGGTTAAAGATTATTGAATAATAGTTAGAACTTATTAGATAAGTGAAATGAAGATAAGAATGCTGATTTTAAGTGCTTAAAGCTTTTCATCGTTTAACTAACATTCAAATATTATCCTATTCAAATATTAGAAGATAAGAATACAGATTTTAAGTGCTTAAAGCTTTTTATCGTTTATCTAACATTCAAATATTAGCCTGCTTCTTAGTTTTCTTGATGATACATTTCAAATAAATACAATATTCTTGATAGATTCCAAATTTGCATTGAAAGTCAATAAAGCTTTGCGAAAAATAAACAAAATGGTAAACAGTAAAAGGAAAAAGACTGCAAAAAACGTTGTAGATATATCTAGAGTGATCTGTCATAACAGGATTAGTTTTGAGAGAGATGGTGAGATGGAGAGGGTTGTGGATGGATGATATTGCTTGTCTAAAGACCAAGCTTGTTTCCCCTTCATCAACAAACAAGCCGGGTGTGACGTGTTTATGGAAAAGGAAAACTGATGGATAAATAAAATGCTTTAAATCATCTTCATCTTTAGAAAAACTTTGAGCTTAGAATCGAAATCTCGTTTATTTTGGAAAGAAAATCAAGGTTTTAAAGATTACTGATAGCCATCATTGAAAGCTTGAAAGCTATCATTGAAAGCTATCATTGAAAACTTGTGAAATAGAATAGAATTGATTGTTGAAAGTTATTGAGAGTTAAAAAATTGCTATTTTGTTGGGTTCAAAGATTTGTAGATTAGTTATTTGCACATCTGGTAAGTTGGTGCAAAAAAGCCGTTCTTTGCGAGCTTTTCTTAAATTCTCTATGCCCGTCTTTTCTCATGTTTATGTCTCAATAAACAACACTTCCAACAGCTCCATTTCTAGGATTTTCGAAATAAGACGATAATGAGAAAGATGAGTTAACTGGAGAAATCAGATATTTAAAAGTTTTAAGAACTTGTCAAGCTTGTTAATCTGCATAAATTGAAGTGCATAGCTCATTCTGTCAATCTTTTATTGAAAGCTTTGTGTTTTATGAATAAATAGATCCAAATCCAAAAAGTAAATTTAATAAAAAAGTTTGAGATACGATTTATGGCTTTTTTTTGAAAAGCTGGTTGGCTAAAATGGCTAAAATATTGGCTAAAATGAAACTAACTGGATTCTAGAAAAGATGATAGACACTATTTGGTGTTTTTAGATAAAAACCGATTACTTAACCATAGTAATAAAGCAAACTTTTGAAAAAGCTCATTGGGACAAGCTGATAGGGGACAAGTTGATAGGGGATAAGCTGATAGGGGATAAGCTGATAGGGGACAAGCTGATAGAGGACAAGCTGATAGGGGACAAGCTGATAGCCTTGTAGATAAAGCAGATTCAAGATAAGTTATCATAGTAAATTCATAAATCCATTTGCTACAGAGCAATGCAAATCGTAATATCATAAGAATTATTATAGTTTTGTTAGCTGAAAAGTATTCCCAGTTGATAGAAAAATGAAAAGAGAAGAAAAGGGGATTTATGAGAAAACACATTGCTGAATGCACAATCTTATAGTTCTCAAAAGCAAATCAGGATTGAGAAATGGGAAGTAAAGAAATAAAGTTGAAAGCTGCAATTTGCATGTGAGTCTTTTTCTTTCGATTCTCTTCAATTCTCTTTTCTGTTGTCGATACTTTTCTCACAAATCCTGACTGGTTCTGGATTTTTTGAGGAAAGAGAAATGAATTTTCTTATAGTTAGAGAAAGTAAAACTTTAAAATGACAATGATGGACAGATCTTCTTGAAAATTTCAAGATCAAGAATGAGGAAATTGAAGGAAACTTAAAAAGAATGATTTTGAATGATTTGCTCAAAAATGATTGTTTAGAATAGAATAGAATAGAATAAATGGAATCTCTAGAATTAGAATTAGAATAGAATAAATGGACTCTACTATGCTGTAACAATTTATTTGATATCTGAAAATCAATCAAGCAAAACACAAGTTCGGTTTTGCCTTCAATTTTAGATTTTAAAATGATTCAAAGATAAAGCACTTGTGAGACAATAAGTATATTGGAAAATAGAAAAGAAATTAACCTTTTGAAAGCTTTCGAATAAGCTAACAATTTCTAATTAAACTAAAGACAGTGCTTTACAACATATTAAATTTAAAAGAAACATTCAAAAAATCTTCTTGAAAATTTGCAAATACTTTTTTCATCTAGCTCTGCTTTCAATTTATATTCTTTCTCATTTGTCTAAGATAATTGGGAGAAATTAGGGAAAAATGACCTTTAAAATAGAAAAAGTCAAAAAAAAAACTGAAAACTTTCAGAAAAAGTCTCGACCATTGTCTTGCGGTTTTTGGCGGAGAAATGGATAACAAGTTTTACACTAAACACATGAGAAAGAAACTTATGTTGTGAGGGTCTAAGAAATCAAAGGTTTAACCTTTTTGGTGAGGTAAAAATAGAGAAGAATAGGAAAAATAAATGAAAGAATTGGAAAAGGAAAGTACTTTTCCGGTTCTTTTAACCTTTCTTGTTTCTCTCTTGTCTTTTCTTGTTTCCCTTGACCTTGTCTTATTTCCCGTTTACCGCGTTTTTTCGCTTTGTTTTGAGGGGAAATAATATGCTTTTGTGGGTTGTAAAGTGAATTGAAAACAGGGTGTCCCAAAAGTTCTGGCAGAACTTTTTGTAAAAGCAGCTTCCAATACGGTTCCTATTTTGATCAGCTAGCAACTGTCTAACTAGAAAGTGATAAGGATTATTTAGAGATTTGAAGCCCGGGATCTTGGCTACATTTACATACCAAAAGCTTTCGAATTGGAGTCACACAACTTATGTGATAAGTTTTTGAATGAGCACTACTCGGTCTCTTTCCGGCATGCTATCATTTTTGACGATTTTCTTTATAAAATCTTTATAAAAGAGCTTTTTTGTTATTTATTTCATTAAAATGTAACATTTTTTATCATTTAATAATCAGAATAGCATCCAACTATTTTTTCCATAAAGAAAATCGTCAAATATGGCAGCATGCCGGAAAGAGGCCGAGTAGTTCTCATTCAAAAACTTGTCACATGAGTTGTGTGACTCTAATTCGAAAGCTTTTGGTATGTAAATGTAGCCAAGATCCCGGGCTTCAAATCTCTAAATAACCCTTATCACTTTCCAATAAGTTAGACAGTTGCTAGCTGCTTTTACAAAAAGTTCTGCCAGAACTTTTGGGACACCCTGTAGTTTCAACTGTGAATTTGCCTGGCTCCTTGGGCTTATTGAGTTTGGGTCAAATGAGAACCACAAGTAAATCTAATTTTGTAAAGTTAAAGTGATGAAAAACTTGATTTTTTTTATGTTAGTTGAGCCAATACTTTAATACTGTTGAATTCTTTGATCTGAAAAACTTTAAAACTCAAGCCGTAAGCGTTTCAACGAAAGATTTGTATGCAAACTAGCAACTTATAAAGAAATCCCGTATACAAACGTTCTTTGTTTGTCTCTTTGTGCTCAAAAAAAGAAACACACCATTTCTAGCGCACTCATCTCTTTAAATTCTTGTAGAAAGGCTGTATTCATACAGGAAAACGAAGAAACTGAGCCAGAAACAGATTCCCATTGTACACAAAGTACACCAAAAGACTTTGACAAACTTGTAGCACTACCAAACAAAGAAAGGAAAGAAAAGGAAACAATTCCTTCAACCCGTTCTTTCTTTCTTTCTTTCTTTCTTTTCTTTTTTATATTCCAATTGACCTTGTCGTGTTTTCCCCTTTAAGCTGTCTGTCTTTTCTTTTCTTTTCTTTTAAATGATTCGAGAAATTGAAGGGTAACTCTTTTGCGTCTCATTTTCTTCTCTAAAGTCCGGTTTGGTTAAAGTTTGAAAAATTTTTCATAATTGGGTAATATAATTGGGTAAAAATGCGTAAAAAAAAGTATTCTTTTCAACAATGATAAGCTTTGAGTTAAGAGTTTTACAAAAACAAACAAAAATTTCCAGTTTTGAGTAATTCAAAAGCTTTTCCATTAACTTTTTGCATCTAGAAAGTAAATAAAAATAAATTGAATGAAAATTTGAATTGATAGGCTAAAAATAATATCAAAATATGAAAAATTATCATGTTTTATTGTATGATACTGTAAGAATAATCACAAAAACCAAGAGAAATGAAATATTTTTCCCAAAAAATCCAATGTTTTCCTCTAAAGAAGATGTTTGGGTGCTGGTTGAGCCAAAAATACGGGAATGAATAAGCAACAAAATCGCAAAATATTCAAAAACAATATTGCTAATTTTCAGAAAATTTTAGAACTTGGAATTTATAAAAATTATAAAGATTTTTCTAGACAGCTGTCAAGAAAAGTGTAGCCAGAGATCGATTTGAAATAGAAAGATTTCTTGTCATAAAAACGCAGAGATTCAACTGAACAATGGGATTTTTGAAGTGTTGTACTTGAAATTCTTGGCTTTAATCCATATGAGGTTTCTTTTTTGTGTAAATTTTGGAGAATCACTTCAGAATTTGAGAGAATTTGCTTGGTTCTAGCCACTAATCTTTTGAATTTGTATGTACAGTGCCGACTTTAGACAGAAATATGAAGTAAGGCATAAGCCGTCGCCTAGCGGCAATGGGATACGTATCACTGTAGCTCATTGGTAGAGCATTCGCCCGGTAAGTGAGAAGTCGCGAGTCCCGGCGCCGACCATGTTTTGTATTCCCAGCCCCAACCCATAAAAAGATTGGCATATCCAACTGTAGAACTGTAGAAGAGTGTAGCCAGAGATCAGTTTGAAATAGAGAGATTTCTTGTCATAAAAACGCAGAGATTCAACTAAACAATGGGATTTTTGAAGTGTTGTACTTGAAATTCTTGGCTTTAATCCATATGTGGTTTCTTTTTTGTGTAAATTTTGGAGAATCACTTCAGAACTTGAGAGAATTTGCTAGGTTCTAGCCGCTGATCTTTTTTTTAATTTGTACAGTGCCGACAAAAACGTGAGAATGGCTTGGGTTCAAGAAAAAAATGATGCATGTTATAAGCTACAGAAAACAAGCAATATCATGCAACATCATGCAACTAAGCCAAAAATTGATCAGCCATCTAGTAACACTCTTTTTTCTTTCAACAATTTTTTATCGGTAACTTTATATGATAGTTATCATTTTCAAATCAATAAGCAAAGAATTAGCTTTCCAAATTTCCTTTTGATGTTCATTAACAATTTTCAAACAATTCAGGCAATTTCAAGCAAAGCCGACAAAGTTCAAATAGAAACAATTGAAAATTCTTTATTTTACAAGGTTTTTGTTTTTGATC